AAAAAAAACGAAAAAAAAACAACTTTGTAATGGGTAAGCTAAACGCAAGGAAAAAAGTTTTTGCGGAGACCACAACAAACAACAACAAACAACAAGAACACGCCAGAACGCGTTCCTCGCGAATGCACAACCGCGAAGGTTTAACTTTCTTGCATAAATATTTAATTATAATATTCTACACGATCACCTTCAAACCTGAAAACTCTGGAATGTGTTTTTCGTGTTTTTCTATCTCTCTCACACTCACACACACACACTCTCTCTCTCTTTCTATCTTTTTTTTTTCCTTTTTGCTCCTCCTCGTTGCCAAATAAAGTAAATGTAGAAAGAAAAAGGAAAGGAGCAACAGGATGTGGAAGATATGTTGGTAAATCTGCTGCACGCGTGCGTAATATGCGTAAAATGCTGCCATGATGATGATGACGATGATGACGTAATGAAAAAATTTTTGTTTGATTTGATTATTATTATTTTTTTTTCTCTCTCTCTCTCATTTGCGATTTGTAACGTTTCACCTTTTATATAAAATAATAATCATTATTATTATTATTATTATTATTATTATTATTAAAGTTGATACTTTATTATTTTTTCGATATTTGAAAAAAAAAAAAATCGAACCTTAAGAGACAAGGCATTAGGCCAAAGAAGAACAACTGCTTCCTTTTTTTTTTCTTTTCAACTTCTTCGTCGTCCATCTTCGTCGTCGTCGTCTTCACCGTCTTCTTCGAGTCGTGAGCAAATTTATTTTATTGGAGACACAAATAGATAGAAGGTCACGCGAGAGAGAGAGAGAGAACTGCCATTCTTCTCGATTCGCTTCTTTTTTTTTATACCTTCAAATGCTTCAGTGTTGAATTTTGAAAGCTCGTTTGTTCTGTATTTCCACGATGATGATGGTGATCGCCCCCCCTCCCCAAATTCATTTTTTTTCTTTTCCGCCTCTCTCTCTCTTTTTTGCGAGGCGATTGTGAAAGTGCGCGACAACGTAAAATATATATAAAATCGATTCCCTTGACATTCTCCAGGGTGCTGCGAAAAACGATGATGATGATGTTGATGATGGCGGTGGTGTTGGTGGTGATTAACGTAATCGAATTATGAAAGTCGGTGTCGTTTTTTCGATTCGTTCGAGTGATATTTGTAGTGAACGGGAAGCAACGGGAATTATGGTGGCCTGGAAGTAATGAGCAAAGAGGTATCCATTCCTAATTTTAAGAAAGGCCTCCTCCTCCTCCTCCTCGTTCGTAACTCGATTCGTGTTGTTATTATTACATAATCAAACGTATTTACGCAATAATAAAATCTGGGAAAGCGAATTTTTTTATTATCAATTTTCGTGTGGTTGCGTGTGCGTGTGCGTGTGCGTGCGTGCGTGCGTTTCGTAAGCGTACATCCGAATTTTTCGTTATTGTTGTTGTCGTTTTCTATCCCTTGGAAATCGCATCGAACAGAGAAAAAAAAAACATTTTTCTCGCGATTATGTACATATTTTCTTTACTAAGAGTTCATATCACGTTGACCGACCTATCTTTTAACAATTTAGGCCCCATTGTCATCCTTGAACTTATCGTCGTGAAAAACATAACAAAAAAATTTATGTTTTTGTATACATAAATTTTTATTTATTTTTTTTTTTGTCTTTATATGCGTCATAGAGAAACAATCAAACCGTGGAGAAAGTTTATCAGTTTTTTTTTTGTCTCGTAATAAAAACCGTTCGTGGCGATATTATTATTATTATTATTATTATTATTATTATTATTATTGTTATTTAATTTAAAAAAAAAAAGAAAATTTTTTTTTTTTTAGAAATTTTTCCGAATGTCGGTGGAAAATTATCGTCGTCGTCATCGATTAATTTTTTTTTTTTTTTTGAATGAATGAATGAATGAAATGTCATTCTTTAATTTTCCACGTAGAAAATTTTCTAACGTAATGGTGACGTAATAATAATAATAATAATAATAATCACGTTCAGATTTTTTTTTTTTTTTACTTTTTCCCCATCGATCGATCGATCGATTGTTCGATCTGTGATCGGTTAGCTTTTATAACTGCTCACTACTACCAGGTTTTTTTTTTTTTTCTTGGCATTTATCATCCGAAATCAGGTTTTTTTAATGTATATACCCGAAAGCCAAATCTACCTTCACCATCTTTTGTTTGTTTCTTTTTTTTTTTTCCGTTCCTTACTCTCCTCTTCCTAGTTTTCCTCCTCTCCTTTTTCTTTCTCTCTCTATTTTTTTTTTCTCTTTCGTTGGTTGAAAAAAATAAAAATCACACCGGGATCGGCGAAAAAAAAGAAAAAAGAAAAGAAAAAAGAAAAATGGAAACCTTGTCTCCCTCGATCTGACCTCTCACATCAATTTCAAATAGGTTAAAATGGCCTTCCTTCTTTTACAACGCGTGAAATGAAAGTTTGAAAGTTGCTTGGTTTCATCAAAGAATTTTATTATTATCATTATTATTATTTAGAATTATTACGGGAGGGAAAGAGAGAGGAAGGGAAGGAGGGAAAAAGAAAAAAGTGAAAAGGTTTATTGTGTCATCATCATCATATTCGATTGATGAAGAAATCTTGGAAAGGAAAATTTTTTTTTAATCGAGTTTTCACGCGTTTTTCCATTCCCGCGAAATCTGAGTGTCTCCCTCCCCCCCCCCATTCTCTTAACGGCCTTTTCCTTTTTCTCCACAATTTTTCCTATAGGTTTGTTTTTTTTTTAATAAATAAGTTGAACATGAGCAAAAAAGGTATAACAAAAAAAAAGAGAGTGAGAGGTAGGTAGCGAGAGAGAGAAGGAAGGGGGTGTTGGGGAGAGAGGGGGAAAGCAAGAGAGAGAGAGAGAGAGAGAGAGAAAAATCTTTCTGGCATGAAAGTTAAATATAGATAATTGACGCTGTGTTATTTTAGAGTGAATTATTTTAACCTTGAATTTATGGTAAACCTGTCTCTCTCTTTCTTAAGATACACACATATATATTTATATATATATTTAGGCCTTTGCGAATGTATAAAGTTTTTTTTTTTTTTTTGCTCGCTCGGTTGTCTGTTTGTTTGTTTCATTTGTTTGCACGGCCGGTAATGTTTTATTGAACAAAAAAAAAAAATGGAAAGAAAAGATGAGAACGCGGAAACTTTTTCCCCCCCCTCTCTCTCTCTCTCTCTTTCTGTCTCTTGTTTTTATGTCTTCTGTTACGTACGTACGAGGAAGGTAAAATTTTGAAAGTAATAATAATAATAATAATAATGGTAACAAAAGGGTTGTTTTTTTTTTTTTTTGTAAAAGAAATCTTTCTTCTTTTTTTTTCTTTTCTTTTCTTTTTCACCCCTTCGTATTATGTCGGTTCTTTTTTTTTTTTTCTAAAACGAAAAAGAAAAAAAGAAAAAAAAACAAGTTCCATTAAAAACCGGGTCTCTCGAAAGGTTTTCAACGGATTCGAAGAAGGTTTTGTTGTTGTTGTTGTTGTTGTTGTCGTCGTCATTACGTGCGTGATCTTTTTTTTTTTTTTTTTTTATGTTTCACTTTCGTTTGTTTTGTTGCATCCATCCAAAGCGTGAATGATTTAGAAAAACGGTTATTTTTTTTTTACTTTCGATTTTATTTTATTTTTTTTAAATTAGTCGATGCCATGACGGTTTTGTTTTTATTTAATTGATGTGAATGAATGCGAAAAGAAGAAATTTTTTTTCGATCTATCTAACGAATCGATTTATATTCGTAATGGGAAAGGGAGAAAAAAAAATAAATTGAAATAAAAGAGAGAGAGAGAGGTAGGTAGGGAGAGAAAATAAAAGCGAGACCTTGTTGTTACAAGTTGGGCCACATACATATTATACACAACACTCCCTTGAGGTGACTGGTTCTTTCTAAAAAAAAAAAAAAACCCGCAATCGCATAATCGGAAATAAAAAAATTATGTAAGACCAGAAAGAAAGAAAGAAAAAAAAAATGTTAATTTTTTTTTTTAAAAAGAAATTTACCCGAAGGATATTGGGAAAGAACAAAGCGAAAGAAAGAGAGAAAAAAAAAGCAACAAACAAACAAACGAACAAACAAACGTACTTACGTACGTACGTACGCCATTCATTTTTCCTTGCCTTTTTTTTTTTTTTTGTTAAATCTATAAGAATACGAGATGAATCTGTCGAATGATTGTCTTTTTTTTTTTTTTTTTCTAACACGTACCTTGCCAATACGTCATGACGATAATAATAATAATAATACCTTTCGTGTGATCGTGTAAATAAAAAAAAAAAAAAAAAAAAAAAGGAAAAAAAGAAAAGAAAATACAATTTTTTTTTTTTAATATTCAAGGTTAATTGTCTTCTGTAATTGCAATACGGCTTGAATAATTATTCTTTTTAATTGAGTCTTCTCTTTTTATTATTATTATTATCATCATCATCATCATCATCGTTTTTTTTCCCCGTTTTTCAAACCTTCGGGAATGACGTTCGGCGGTGCGAACGTTGACAACGTAATGTTAATTACCACCCGGGTGCAATATTATTACCGAATTTTGGAAAATTATTTGTTTGTTTTTGTAATTGTGCGTGTGTCCGTGCGTGCGTGCGTGCGCGAGTGCGTGAATGCGTGCGCGCGTTTTTTTTTTCTTCTAATGGTGCCCGGAAATGTTTAAAACGTTTAAAATAATGATTTCTTTCTTAAATCAAATGGCTTTACGTTGTAGAACTTTGGCGTTAATGCCTTGGCACCGGACATTTAATAATAATAATAATAAATTTTTTTCAACAAATAATCATATATATAATGACCATTTGTTTTCCCGCCTTTTTTTTGAAATTCAAATTTTTTTAACTGAAAACACTCGGCGATGAGATGCCCGAGTGCCCATCGAATTCATCGTTTTTTTTTTTTTTTTTTTTAATTAAATTATCATTATTGTTATTATTATTTATAATTTTGTTTTTTCTTTTTTCAGAAATTCGAGGAGAAGGTCCCCCCTCCCCTTGGGAAAGCAAAGCGAATGCTAACATGTTCGCAGATAAATCAGGGTTACTCACGCTCCACTACGGAAAGCATCACGTAACGCTTGTGGACGAAATCAAATTGTGGTTTTTAGACGAAAATTTCACGGACGTCGTCATCGTTTGCGACGATGACGATGACGAAGAAGAAGAGGAAGAAGAAGGTGGTAGTGGTGGTGGTACGACGAAAGAATCTGAAAGGACGAGAGAAGAAGAAAAAGAAGAAAATGAGGAAAAGGGTAAAATGAAAATTTCCACGTATTTCCGAGAATTTTTCCCTTTTTTCTTTTGCGATTCTCACCGTCACCAACTCTCTTAATCAGTTTCAGATTCTTCTCCCGATGAAAACGTTGAAAAGAAATCATCGGAAAACATAGTAGTAGTCGAAAACAAGAAGGATAAGAAAGAAGAAGACGAGGAAATGGACGATGATAAAAACAATGATGATGATGATGATAATACGAAAACGGTTCAAATCAAAAAAGAAGAAGGAGGAAAAGAAGAAGGAGATGAAGAAGGCGAAAAATTGGATAAGGAACCAAAGGAAAGCGAAGAAAAGGAGGAAAAGGAAGTAAAAGTAAAAGAAGAAATTAGTACAAATAAAACAGATTGTGATAAAGAAAGGGATCTCAATAGGAAGAAAGTTAAAAAGAGTAAAATATTACTTAAGGCTCACAGGTTGATATTGGCATCGTGTAGTCCTTTGATAAGGAAAATATTAGATAATAATATAACTCACAGTATAGACAATCTGACCATATATTTCCCAGGTAATTATAATCAAATTCATTTATTTATTTATTTATTTATTTGGGAGGGTGCACGTGCGGGGGGGTGGGTGGGGTAGCGTCCGCAACACAAACGCAATACATTTAAAGAGAGAGAGAAAGAGAGAAGTTTGCCGATTCGAAAACGAATCGTTATATATTACATTTAAAGTCGGAGAGGAAATTGAAATTATATGAAAGAATTTAGAAAGGACAGTCTTACTACTCGGTAAATAACTCAACAAACAACAACACACGGGTTGAAATTATATCATAAAAAAAAAAAAAAAAAAAATGGCCGGACAGGTATTTTTTTTTAGATACTTACTTTTATTATCACACATTTCTCGTCGTCGTCGTCGTCGTCGTGTGTCAGTTTTCATTAATGAAAGCATACAAATACATACGTGCAGGATATTATAACGATTGCGTCAGAAGTTGTGAGGAAATTTTCTCTCTCTCTCTCTCTCTCTCTCTCTTTCTTTCGTTTCGTCGTCGTCTTTTCTTTTCTTTCTTTTCTTTTTTTGGCGAGTCTTCACTTCATATTCGAACGAAATTGCCATGGGAAACGGGGGGAGGGGGCCTATGTTGTTACGTACGTGCCTACCTCCTTCCTTGCTTGACTACCTACCTACCTACCTACCTGCCTACCTGCCCAACTAACTACCCGCCTACCTTTCTTTCTTTCTTTCCTACGGTAGATAAATTAGTGTTAATTATTTTTTTTTCTTTCTCTCTCTCTCTTTATCTTTCTCTCTTTCTCTCTCTTCGCTATTGCTCGGATTTTCACGCTCCGGCTACAATCCAGACCTCCAATTTTAATTATTTATTTTATTTTATTTTATTTATTAATTTTTATCGAGAGCAATTTCACGGTTTGTTTTTTTTGTTGTGTTCGTCTCGACCGACGACGATCGATAAATTTTCTTTTTTTTTTTTTTAATTAATTTATTAATTTAAAAAATGACTGATATGAAAAAAAAAGCAGAAGAAAAAGATGAAGAGGAAGAAGAAGGAGAAAAAAAAACAAATGTCATGACATCAGTCGCGTTGATCTTGTTTAAATTATTATTATTATTATTATTTCCTCGACCGAGAGAAGAGCCCATACAAGTATACATAAAAAAATTTTAAAGGGCACAAATTAATAATTTTAAACATTAAAAAAAAAAAAAAGTAGTAGTGGTAATAATAATAATAATTAACAAATGTAATGATGGGTGTATGTTGTTATGAGTTGAAAAAAAAAATTCGTTCGACCTCGCAATAATTTCGTTCGTTCGCATATTTTTATTATTATTATTATTATTATTTGTGATAATATTAATATTAATAATAATAATTATCATTATCGTTATTAATAAGTGTGGGGAAAAAAAGAAAAGAGAAAAAATTAGTTTTGCAAAATTCGCATTGGGCAACACATTTTATCTTTCTGTATTTTACTTATATTATATAATTATTCTGTTTTTGTTTGTATTGAAACGACGATTTCACAATCGATGGTGTGAAAAAAAAAAAAAAAAATGAAATGAAAGGAAAGGAAGAAAGAAAGAGTGAAAGAAAATGGCGGTTGTTGTTGTTGTTGTAGTTATCGAAATTCAAAGGAAACTATTTTAAAAAGAAAAAAAAAATTAATTAGCAACGAGTCGTTAATATATATAGAGTTTCGAAATTTTGAAATTTTGTACGGGACGGTACGGGGAGATAGGTACACGACGAATCGGGTACCTATTCTTTGTCTACAGGTGGTACAGGAAGGGAACAGGAGAAGAAGATGAAAAAAGATTTACGGACGGACAAACGCGAATTATTTGACAAATGAAGGTTCGCACCAAAATCCACACAAGGACAATTCAAAGTGCAATTAAAAATTTTTTCCTCTTTTTTTTTTTAATATTATTATTATTATTATTATTATTATTATTATTTATTTTTTTTTTTTTACTGTCCAAGCTTTAATTTTTATGTATATATATATGTGTGTGTGTGAGTGTGTGTAATTAAAATGACGGTAATAAAAAAAAAAAAAAAAAGATTTTGTCTCTCATCATGAGAGATTGAACACAAACATTTAAAACGAGAGGAAGATTCTGCATGAATTTAATAACATTTAAATGTTTATAATCCTGATTACAGGAAAAAAGAAAAAAAAAAAAAAAAAAAAAAGACGACGACGGTAATAAAATTACCAACATTTACATTTTACGCGTGTAAATTTTTTTTTTTTTTTTTTCCACGTTATTATCATTATTATTATTTTCAGGTATTAAAGCCTCGTCGATGCGGCACTTATTAAATTTCCTTTACACGGGTCAAACTTGTTTAAAGGAAGTCGAAATAAAAGAACTCAGAGAATTGATAAAATTATTAGATATAAAAACGGATATTTGGGACGAGACTCCCCAATGTGCTCCCTTCCTGGGAAATACGGGAACTCAAGTTCCCTTTAACAACAACAAGGATTACGGCGATTCGACAACAAGTACAAATGATATGATGGGAGTGTCAGATGATAAAATTCAATCGGAATCCGTTAATTTGTCAAAAGACATTGTTTTGTCGATAGATCGTAGGCAGAAATATGTACAAAATAATGTAGTATTATCCGATGGTAACGAGAGTAGACGGGGGTATATAAACGGGTTACACGGATCCCACGGTTCGGGGAGCGATGGATTCGAATATGGTGGCGGAGGAAGTAGCGAAGAAGATAAACATTTTAACGCGGCGGACGATAATAATTCGGTTAATTGCGCAGGTGAGTCGTGGTGGTGGTGGTGTTGGTGCGTCCTTCGACGAAAGGGAAAGAGAAGAAATCTGATTCAATTGTTTTATTTGCAGAAGAATTAAGTATAAAAGTCGACGTCGATGAAAATTCGTTAGACGATGACGACGACGGCGAGGTCGACGACGATGAAGATGACGCGGCGGAAAGAAGCGGCGGAGAATTACATATATCACCCAACGAAGAAGATTCTAGAAGTCCCGAATCCCCGTCGAACGTGGGAACGTCTAGAAAACAAATACTAACGAGGAGAAGTAGTTTAAACCCAGTGAATTTAACGGTTGAAAAAAATGGTCGAAGGAATTCGATTGATGAGAAAAACGTAGATCAGGATCAAGACTACGAAAAGGTAATTTTTCCTTTTCTTTCGACGACCCGAACAAAAGGAGCAGTTTTCCCACCCACCCCCCGGTCAGAGGTTTATTTTCGAGATGGGTAGAATTCGATTTCTTATTCTATTTACAGCCGAGTTGCATACAGAGGAGAGTTTTAAACAGTAACTTGTATAAAAATCACATGCCCATATCGGAAAAGTTAGCATCACAATTTATGAAAGCAACGCAAGCACCATCACTATTGATAAATCATCACAAGCGGAAAATAAGCGAGTTGGAACCGGATGATTATCCGACGGATAGAACCGCGTACGAGAACAACAGGCTCGACGATTACAACAACAGATACGAACCGGAAGATGGAGGAAAAATTCATCCGGCTCACTATCTGAACAAAAGCCTTTCTGCGTACGACGACAAAACTCTGGATTACATAAACAAGAAAAAATACGACGAGGAAAACGAAACGGACGACGAATTCACGGGAGTCACGCGAATACCTCAAAACATTCCGGAATCGTACCTGGTGACGCCGCATAGGAAAAGACGACCGGGATTTCACAACAGTCCGAATCAAAGCATACCATTCGTACCTTTTTATTTTTCCAGGGATTTTCCATTGCAAGGTAATGTATATCGATCGATCGATGGATCGATCGATAGGTCGACTGCTATTCGATTATAAAAAATTTTTTTTACAATCGTAGGGAACGTGAGAATAAAAGATGAAAACAGGTCGCCGAACGAACGTGAAAAATCACCCAACGATTTTCATTTGGTTAAAGAATCGTTAGAAAATCCATGGACGTCCTACGCCGCTCTACGTCATTCATACAATTCAGGTACGAGAGCGAGTGGGGAAATTGGGAAAGAGAGAGAGAGAGGGAAATAAAAAATTTTAAAATTTTTTTTCTTTTTTTTTTTAGGTCGAGGTTTCGATGGAAGGTCGGGAAGCGGCGGTTTGACCCTGGTCGATTCATCTCGTAAGGATCCCGCTCTACTACAAGTAAACAATCCGAACGACGTCCAAGAAACGAAAGCGAGAAGTTCATCGTCTCCCGTGCAGGGAACGAACACGTCGAAAATCCAACAGCTCCGGGAATACAAATGCGAATATTGTGGAAAACAATTTGGAATGTCGTGGAATTTAAAAACTCATTTGAGAGTGCACACGGGAGAAAAACCTTTTGCTTGCCGGTTGTGCGTGGCCATGTTTAAACAGAAAGCGCATTTGTTAAAGCATTTGTGTTCCGTGCACAGGAACGTTATTTCGGAGGGTAGTGGAAAATTCAATTGTTGTTTCTGTCCGGTTAGTTTTGAAAATTTACAAGAGTTGATAAGGCATTTAAGCGGACCCCATAACAATTTACTATTGAGTAAAAATTTACACGATTAATATATATATATATATATATATATATATATATATATATATATATATATATATATATATATGCATACCACCTAAATCGATGGCATAAAACAAAAAAAAAAATCGACGGGAGAAACATGAAAAAAAAACTTTTCTTTCTTCTTCTTTCGTCATTACTATCATTATTATCATCATTATTATTATTATTATTAATTTGTCGTCGTCGTCGTCGTCGTGCATTCCTTGCAGTTTTTTTTAAAAACACGCGAAATCGTTATAAAAGTCAAAACAAAGCAAAAAGTGGGCCTTTTAAAATTTATCATTATTATTATTATTATTAACTGCAGGAAAAATCATTTAAAAAAAAAAATAGTTGTAGTAGTAATATTATTAGTGGTAGTAGTAGAATTAGTAGTAATATTAGTAATAATAGTAATAATAATAATAATAATAGCACTTAAGTTTAAAATTTAAAAAAACAAAAAAAAATGAAAAAAAAAAAATGAGATTCTGTGATAAATATATATTTATATATATATGTAATAATAATAATTGGTTAAAACGCGAGCACGCACACAAACACGCACACACACACACACATGTACGCACACGTAGCGCACACGCACACACACGCAGAGAGAGGAAGACAAAATAAATAAAAGAAAAGAAAGATGAGGAAAAAAATTTAAAAAAAAATTTGCACGTATCGCACGCGGTTAATGAGAAAAAAAAGGGGGGGTATTTTATCCCCTCGCCATCCATTTTTTTTATGACGTAATCATCGACGTCATCAATTACCTTATTACGTGTAATAATACTTTTTTTTTTTTTTTTTTTTGGAAAACAACCCAGTGATTCAGTCTCCTTAATAATTTATATATAAAAAAAAATTTTTTTAAAATTTCGTTGTTTGAAGTAAATTTTGAAAATGTCCTCCCTCCTCCTTCACCCGTTGACGGGGAGGAGGGGGAGAAGAAGGGGAGGGAAGGGAGTGGGTGGAGGGGGGTGGAGAAAAAGAGGAAAAATATAAAGAAAAAAAATAATAATAATTTTTTTTTTTTTTTGTTAAATTCGTTGTCGAATCGAATCGTCATTTTTTGAATCGCTGCATTTAAATAATAATAATAATAATAATAATAATAATAATGATGATGATGATGATAATATTTTTGTTTTGTTTTTTATTGTTATCACATTATTTGAATAAGGAGTCGTCATTTAAATTTTTTTCATGTTTTTTTTTGTTTTTTTTTTTCGAATTGTATTTTTTTCTTCCACTGAATTTACTTATTAGTTCAATGTTAGATCTGAAATTGTTTTTCTTTTCATAATTTATTTATTATTATTTAAACTCGCGACATCACGGATGTAAATAATAATAATAATAATAATAATAATAATAATAAAACAAAACAAAAGTAAAAAATTTAATTGTAATAAATGATATGACGTATTAAATGCGTTCAACCTTTAGAGAGAGAGAGAGGAAAAGGATGCGCATGTATAAATTTTTTTTTGTTTTAAAAAAAAACGAATTTCGACACGATTTTATCGTGTCACTTACGTGTGTAATTTTTCTTCTTACACGACTGTCGAGTTTCCTCCCCTTTTACACCCAAATTAAAAAAAAAAAAATCAATTAATCGTTTTGAAAATAATGATAGTAACGATAATAAATGAGAAAAAAAAAATTTATAAATGCGTGTAAACATCCTATTCGTTTGTTTGTTTGTTTGCTTGTCTGTTTGTTTGCTTGTTTGTTTTTTAATTGTATCCGAGTGCCTTACAAAAAAAAACGAAAAAGTGCATTTAATGATTAACGAGTGTGCCTTCATACTCATTGTGGTTTAGAAAAAAATTGCTCAATTACGTACCTTAAATTTTTACCACGAATTATTATCATTATTATCATCAATTCACAATATACGACAATAATAATAATAATCGATTGTAATTAAAATATCGCATCACAATAATACCGGGTAGAATATTATTAATAATGATAATGATGATGAGAATAACTCGTGCGTTTTTCTTAAATCAGAAAGAAAAATTCGTAATAATAATAATAATAATAATAATAATAATTTTTTAAAGTAAATATGTTTCTTAATGTTTCTTTATTAATTTTTTTTAAAATAATGATGATGATGATGATGTTTGCAATGATAACAATAAAACATTAGTAATAATAATAATAATAATAATAATAATAATAATAATTTGTAAATGAAATAAAAAATAATTTTTTTTTTTTTACAAGGATTTCGTCAATGTCGTCGTCATCATTTAAAAGAGTGGGCCAAATTTTTTTCGTTGTTGTTTTATTATTATTATTATTACTACTATCATCATCATCATTATTTAAATAAAATAACAAATAAAAAAAAACGTTTACACGTGTTGCACATTTGAGAGAATTTAATTTATTTAACGAAAATTGTTTTAAAATAAATAAAAGAGAGAGAGAGAGAGGAAAGAGAAAAAGGAAAAGAGGAAGGAAGGAAAATATTATTACTCCTTTGTTATTAATTATCATTATCATTATTATTTTTATTATTATTAATAATAATTATTTTTCAAGGTAGAGTTTTTTTAAAGTGTTGCTTTAACGATATTATTATTATTATTATTATTATTATTACGTATTGAATTACGACGTGTATTACGTCGACGACGGTGATTATTCCAGTTGATTTTTTATTTTTTTTTCGAATTGAATTCGTGCTGAAAAAATAATGATAATGATAATAATAATAATTATTAAGTAATAAAATTTATTAATTGTAATAATAATAATAATAATGATGATGATGATAATAATAATAATAATTTGTATTGTAATGATGTGCGAAAACAATTTTTTTTTTCTGTCGGTTGTCAAATCAATAATTTTTCATCAGAAGGTTAGGTTTTCATTTTTCTGCTTTAATGATAATGATAATAATAATAATAATAATGATGATAATAATAATGATTGAAAAATTATTTAAATAATTTATTTTTTTTATTTAAAAACTTTTGAGGAAAGAAAAACGAAAACGTCATCATAACGGGTCTTGATAATAAATTTTTTATTAATTCTACTATCATTATTATTATTATTATTATTATTATTATTATTATTATTATTATTATTATTATCATAAATTATTAATTAATAATTGTAATTGTTACATAAAATTTATTTTAAAAAAAATAAGTAAAAAGAAAAAGTTTGTGTAAAAATCATTTTTCATTTATGATAATGATCGTTTATTTTTTTTTGTGGGGGGAGGGAAGGAGGGAGGGATTTTCTTCTAATAAACGTAATGTAAAAAAGAAAAGGGAGTGGAATGTATATATGCGTATGTGTGTGTGCGTGTGCGTGTGTCTGTAGAATAATTTAAAAAAAAAAAAAAATGAAAAACGGGTCAATTAATAAAAGTGCGACAATAATATAGTATTTGTATTTATATATATGTATGTATATTCACGCAAAAATTTTTTTTTTTTTTTTTTTTTTGTAATGATAATGATGATAACGACGATGGTGATGACGATGATGATGACGATGATGATGATGGTAACACATGAATGAAATTCATAAAAAAAAATTAATTAATTAATTATTATTATTAATATCATTTCCGTCGTCGTCGTCGTTATTTTTATTACGTTTGAAGCTGTGAATGTATTTTATATTATTATTATTATTTGTGAAAAAAAGAATAGTCGTGCGATTAGAATGTGTGTGAGTGTGAAAAACAGAATAATAGTAGTAGTTGTATAGGAGAAGCCATAGCATAAATTAAAATAATAATAATAATAATTTTTTTAAAAATATTTTTGTCGGTTCATGACTTAAAAAAATTGATTTTATTATCATTATTATTATTATTATTATTATATTAAAAAAATTTTGTTGTGTTGTATAAAAAAAAAAAAGAAGCCCAATGTAAGATTATGCGATTTGTTTTTTTATTATCATTATCATTATCATTATTAATAATTTCGTTTTATTTAGTTAAAAATAATATAAATTTAGTTAAGTGTAAAAAGAAGAAAATTTTTTGTATAAGTTTTTTTGTGAAGTTGTAGTTGTTGGACAATTAGTTTTTCCGATCGTTTGTTTTTTCCCATAAATTTTTTTTTTTTTTCTAGAATTTTCGATCGTCGTGTGTGTGTGTGTGTGGAAAAATCAGTTTGAGACGAAAAAAAGTTTAAAGGGAAAATACTTAAAATAAAGAAAAAAAAATTTTTTTTCATTTCACTTCACTTCACTTATAACGATACTTATTGCAGGGCATTTATTAATAATAATAATAATAATAATAATAATAATAATAATTTTTAAACGTTAAAAGTGATGAAGTGGAAGTGGAAGAAGACAAATATTTTCTTGGATTTATCTTTTTTTTTTTTTTTTTTTTTTTTTTTTCTATTTTATTGTAATTTGATATTAAAAAAATTTTATTAATTATTTTTTTGTATACATACATAAGTGGATACATAGATAGATAGATTTTATAATTGTTAACCTCTTTGAGTTTTCTTTCTTTCTTTTTTGTTTCACTTCAATAGGAGGAAGAAAGATGGATAGAAAAGTTGGTGTTTAGGAGAAAGATGGACGATGGTTTTTGAAGGTACAAAACAGCAAAAAAAAAAAAACAAATTGAATTTCTATTTAAAAAAATTTATTAATAAATAATTTTTTCTATTGTAGATTCGACAAAGAAGTGTGTTGTGTACGTGCGTGAGTGCGCGCGTACGTTACTAATCTCTACTAAACCAAAATCAATAAATAAATAAATAAATAATAAATAATTTAAGGATTTTTTTATTTAGGATTTTTTTCTAGGTTTACTACTTTTTCGGAAACTTTTTGAACGGATGATGATGATTCGCCATCATCTTGTTTGAGTGGTTCCAAATAAACGGTTTCGACTTTTGGAGCGGTTTCTACTTGATGAACAACCGGAAATTGCGTGGATTCTGCATTTAAAGTGTGTACAACGACGGGTTTGTATTTGTGTTCGACGTTATCCAATTGTTGGACGAGGGTTTGTTGTTCTACTTGTCCCTGTTTAACATTAACTGGATCTTGAACTTGTTGTTCGACTCTCGTCGTCGATGGTTCCTTAACGGAAGTAGTAACATCGGCTCTTACCGAATTGTCGTTTGTTTCTTTTTTCTGCCATCATCATGAAAAAGAAAAGAATGAATTTTTTTTTTTTTTTTTTCGTATGGAAGGACACGAAATAAGGTATTAAACTTTTAAGAAAAAAAAAAAACTTTACTTGTTTTTCGTTGACTTCGTCTTCCGGTGTATCAACTGGAGGTTCGGCTGTTAACGGTTCGCTAAACAAACAATCGTTTTGATCGGTTTTAACGAAAAATGTTCTGCTTATTTTGTATTTATCTAAAATGCCGTAGGCGGTTTGAAGTGTTTTACCGGGTGCAAGTCTTTCACGGGTCATGACCCAAGCATTTTCTACAAAAAAAAAAAAATTTTTTTTGAAAATTTTTCATGTTTTTTTTTAAATTTCGAAATTTTTTACAAATTTTACGTACGAGTATTTAAAGGTCCCAATGAACTGCAAGACCAAACAACCGAATAATTATCATAATCGGTATCGAGTACCGAATATTGAGTATCAACAGGTACTGGAAGTGTGTTGTATTTGACTGATATTTTTCCTTCACCTCCTTTACCGATATTTTGTACGACACCATCGAGTACTCGTCTTATTCCGGTTCTTAATAAAAAAAACACACAAACACACATTTTATTCGTTTTCTCTTTCAATATTAATAATAATAATAATAATAATAATAATTAACTTACAATCTGTTTGTTATTTCGTTGGATACTCTAAATTTACCATCGGAACCTTTTGTATAATTACTTCTCACGCATCTACTTCCGGCTTCCAAAACTGTAAAATATCTTTCGGCTTCGTACCAAACACCTTGATACTATAATTTAACAATAATTTTTATCACGTCGACAACAACAAAAACGACATTTTTAATTATTTTTTTGTTTTACTCACTCTATCCAAATCGAAATCGGCCATCGGTGAATAATCTGGACCCCATCCAAAACCTGGAACCTGTGCTAGAGTACATGTTAGAAATGTTGCAATCAATAATAAAAGTTTTTTCATTTTGAAACGATTTAAAAAAAAAAAAAAAAAAACGGTAAATTTGTGATTGATTTTATCCCCGAATATGTTTTTTCGAAAAGTTTTTCTAAAAGAGCAACACGCACGCGCACGCACAAACGAGCAAACAAACGAAATTTTTTTTTTTTTTAGTAAATATCCAACATAAATCAAATTTTGTCGATGAAAAAAAATTCATATAAAATATACAAAAAAAAAAAAAAAAAATTTATTTAAAAAACTACTCACCTGAGATTTAAAAGAATAATAATAATAATAATAATATCGAAATAAATAAATAAAAATTATAATAATAATAATATTATAAATAAAATTGGGGATCTCAGAAATAAAGGCGCATCTATACGGCAAGGAAGACTCTTATATAGATGGCCTAAAACGGTTCAAGTTCACGGTTTTGTATTTCTCCAGTAGTTTATCCATAGATAAGTTAAACATGGGCGTAATGATTTATTGCGTTTAAATATTAACTGGATATGGTTATAAATCTCGATGGTTCAAAACAAGACCCAGAGGGGGTCATTCTTAGAAAAAAAAAAAAAAAAAAAAAGAAAACAAATAGGGCCGGATGCCATCATCAACCAGAATGATTCTTCTAGAAAGAAAAGAAAAGAAGACAGAAAAAAAATGACGAAAATTTTTTTTTCGGGTTCGAACCTAAGGTATCGTCGTTTAAAAAAAAAAAAAAAAAAAATTCTTTTCTAAGGAAAATGACGTTTTTCCTTAAACAATTCTAGGATTATGTGAGACATTTTGAAAAAATTTTCTCCTCATTATTATTATTATTATTATTATTATTATTATTATTATTATTATTAATAATAAATACGTAAAAAATAAACTTTAATAAGATTTAATTTTATTTAAAATAATAATAATAATTATTATTATTATGATGAGTAGAATAAACATTTTAATAAAAAAATTAACGACGTTATGTAGTATGAGAAAATTATTTGAGTTTGTTGTTGTTATTGTTGTTTTTCTTTAAAATCTCGGAAAAGCGGAAATGGAAATTTTTTTTTCGCATCACTTCCTGTCTTCCTTTTGTTAAAAAAGAGGAAAAAATTTAAACGACGCGAACGGGTTTATGGGATTTTTAATTGATAGAAAAAAAAAAGTTGAAAATATTTTTATTAAGTTAGTTTAGATGAATAGAACAAGTTGATTGTAGTGTTTGCAACAAACAACAACAACAACAACAACCACAATCATAATAACAATAAGTTTTTAAAAGTCAATGAAACCATAAAAAATAAATTTTTTATATGTCAGTCATTAACATGAGTTTTTCTTTTTTGTTTGTTTGTTTGTGACAAGAAGTAGGCGGTTCCATCAACCGCATTCCGTTGTCGTTTCATTCTGGATAAATAATAATAATAATAATAATAATCGTTTAATCATTCCATAAATACTATTTTTTTTCCAGGAGTATCGAATTAAAAAATTGAAAATTTTATTAAATTAAACGCTGGAAAAAATTCATTAAAAAAATTTTAAAGTTTGAAGCGATTAACGGATTTTTTTAAAAAATTTATTAACGATAAATCGATAAATATTTAATCAAATTCGAGTCTCGAAAAATTTCGATAATATAAATATCTAATGAGAATAATAATAATAATAATAATAATAATAATAATAATAATAATATAAAATTGATACTATCTATATGAAATTTCTTAATGTTGTTGTTGTTGTTGTTTTTGTTAAAATTCAAAAAAACTTTCTTAATGTGTGTTTGTGTTTGTTTGTGTTTGTTGTTGTTGTTGTTGTTGTTATTGGCTTTTGGCTTGCAAATAAGTATTACAAATAAGTAGATGTAGGACGACGTATTTGATTTTTTTTTTTTTTTTTAACGTGATTTCATAAAAAAATAACAATATATAAAATTAATAATGATATTGAAATATGTTTAATAATAATAATAATAAACTAGTCACGTTTGTAAAAAATTTATTTATTTA